CAAACACTTAAAAAAGTGGGTGAAGAGAAAGGTGGGAGGGAAGAATTTAAATCAGAAAATATATAAATTCTGTCATGACTCATAGTAGAAAGTCAGTAGAACTTTCTACAGAAACAGTGGATCAAGTACACGACGTAAGTGTAATAACGACAACAAGGTAGTGCCACAATACAACCTTCAACATTATTAGAGTAAACCCACACACAGAACAAACCAGAGAAGCACCTAACATAGTTAAATTATTTTTAAAAAGTAAAATCGCCAAAATCAGAAGGCACAGACAAGCAAAATGACTAGTCTAATAGCAAACATATCAATATATTTAAAGAACCTGCATCCATCCACTAAGAAAAAGATTAACCAGCAATGGCAGCATGCACCTGCAGTCCTATCTACTCAGGAGGCTGGGTCAGGAGGATCATGTGAGCCCAGGAGTTCAAGGCTACAGTGAGCTATGATTGTGCACTATTGTGCACTCCAGCCTGCGCAAGAGAGTGAGACACTGCCCCTAAAAACAAGAAAACTATATACTGAACTATGATTCAAAAGGAGAGGGATGTTAACAATTCATAAGAGAAAAGAATTGACTCCCAGAGGCTTGTTTTCATTCTCTAACATTGTTGGCAAGAGGATAAAGAAAACTAAAATTAAGATCTGTAAGTCACTGTGCAGAAAACAAAGACAGCAAAACGTTCTACCAATTAATCTTTCACACACCGTAATTCAGCACTTCCAATTTCTAATAATTATATCAAATTAGGAAAATAAAAAGTAAAATATATTCTGGATTGAATCTAATAAACTACATTAATTACATATTTTTAGAAATTTCTTCGACCCTCAAACAAAAAAGACGGTGAACATAAACAATTTAGGTCAAATTGTCAGATTGACAAAAAAATTCTGCAAACTGAAAATATTCTTTATTAAGCAATTCTTTATTTTGAAACAGCATTTCGCTGTTGTTGCCCAGGCTGGAGTGCAAATGGCACATTCTCGGCTCACTGCAACCTCTGCCTCCCAGGTTCAAGCGATTCTCCTGCCTCAGTCTCCTGAGTATCCGGCATTACAGGTGCCTGCCACCATGCCCCGCTAATTTTTTGTACTTTTAGCAGAGACAGGGTTTCACCCTGTTGGCCAGGCTGGTCTCGAACTCCTAACCTCAGGTGATCTACCCACCTCAGCTCCCAAAGTGCCGCTCCCTGCCTGAACTGTTATCTTAGATGTATTACTTTAAGAATTGCTGGCTGGACACAGTGGCTCAAGCCTGTAATCCCAGCACTTTGGAAGGCAGAGGCAGGTGGATCACCTGAGGTGAGGAGCACAAAGACATGAGGGATCCACTCCCATGATTCCAACACATCCCACCAGGCCCCACCTCCAACACTGGGGATTACAATTCAACATGAGATTTGAGTGGTGCCAAATATCCAAACTGTATCAAAGACCTAGTAGTCAATTCTCACTGTTCATCTTATTTGGCCTGTTAGCAGCATTTGATCACACTCTCCTTCTTGAAATATTTTCTTCACTTGGCTTTTGGAATACTGTTTTCTTCCTAATGTGGTATATATACACCATGGAATACTATGCCGCCATAGTAAAAGAATGAAATATGTCTTTTGCTGCACCATGGAGCCGGAGGTCATTATCCTTAGTGAAATAACTCAGAAAATCAAATCCTGCATGTTCTCACTTATAAGTGGGAGCAAAACAATGGGTATACGTGAACATAAAGATATAAATAACAGACACTGGGGACTCCACAGGAGAGGACGGTGGTGAAGGGGGTGAGAGGTGAAAAATTACTGATTGTATACAACGTTCACTATTTGAGTGACAGGTTCACTAGAAGCCCAAACCTCACCATTACACGATATATGCATGTAACAAACCTGCACATGTACCCCCTGGATCTAACGTAAAATAAACACACAAAACAGTAATAATATTGTTTTCTTCCTACCTCCCTACCCTGGCTGACCTTTCTCTAGCTACCTCTTTCACTTTAGCCTCTATTTTTTTCTCTCTACAGTAACCCCCCAAGCGCCTCACCCAGTGGTCATGGCTTCACACAGCATCAACATTCTGACTCCCAAGTTCACCTGGGTCAACTTGCCTCAACTCCAAATTCATCTGCACATGGATGTCCACTAAGCATCACTATCTTTACATATCAAACTTCAACTCCTGAGCAAGACTTCCCACCCCAATCTAGCAAAGGGTCAGCTGTCACCATAGACAGTCCAACAACTGCTCCACTCATGTTCATTCTATCATTCTCAGTCACATCCTAAGACAGCAGGAGCTTGGATAGAAAAGACAGAGGATCAGAGGATCAAACTCTGCAAGTTGAGCAGGATTCTTGGAATTTTAGGTAGAGGCAGGCAGAAAGGGATTGCAGGAGAAAGTTCAACCTGAAGATAAGATGAAATAACTACAGTATGGCTAACATGTTTACACCAATAAAATATAAGCCAATTTGCCCTTTCAACCAGGTAGCTACCATGTGCCCATTACTAGACACTAGGTACAAGTGAAGAAAAAAACAACTCATGATTCTTGCAATGGGGAGATATGGAAAGTACCAGATGGTAGAGAGAATCCATATCTTCTGACTCCACATCAAGAGATCAAGATCCGTATGCTTCAATAAACTTACACCAAAACAATTCAAGAGTTCATCGCATTTTAATAATGTATAAAATTTACACTTTCTACAACAAAATAAACGTCATCCTATGGCAATATCTTTGAGAAAATGTTGAACTGGGCAGATCTTGTGACATCCTAAGAGTATCAATATATTCTGAAGCATAATGGAAACTGCAAGCTTAAGATATAGATGACAGAAAGATAGATGATGTAGGTTACCAAAACATTAAAGAACACTCATTTATACAAAGATAGCTAGGCTAGGACAGGAAGAGTTTGATTCCAATATTAAACCTCTGCAGAAGGCCAAGACAAAAGTCTGATATGTATATGCATCTATTTTACTATAGTGGGTTTGTTAATTATTAGTGACTTGTTTTGTGTTACTTTGAGCCTTTCAATAATAACATTCAAATGTATCCCAATTCTCAAATTGAAAAACATGCTAACAAAAAATCAGAAGCACTGCTTAAAAAGAGGTTTATACCACAAAAGTTACATCGGATTTTTCCTTATTTTTTTTGAGACAGAGTTTCACTCTCATTGCCCAGGCTGGAGTACAATGGCATGATCTCAGCTCACCACTACCTCCACCTCCCAGTTCAAGCAATTCTCCTGCCTCAGCCTTCCAAGTAGCTGGGATTAAAGGCATATGCCACCACGCCCAGCTAATTTTGTATTTTTAGTAGAGATGGCATTTCTCCATGTTAGGCTGGTCTCGAACTCCTGACCTCAGGTGATCCACCCACCTTGGCCTCCTAAAGTACTGGGATTACAGGCATGAGCCACCGTGCCAGCCCTACATCAGATTTTTCATTCAGTTATATGAAGATGTTCTTTGTATTTCACAGAGACAGCTTTTTTCATAGAAAAAAGCATATGGACAGTAGATTTTCAATCACATGAACAGCAGATAACCAGACTGAAATTTTCCGAAATTAAATTATTTATTTCTATAAAGCCTTATAACAAAATGTTAAGAAAAAGATTTGTTAAATAGATGAATGTTGTAAGCTGCATCCTTTAACATAATTACCTGTATTTCAATTCAGCTTTGCATTTACACAGCTAAACTATAGCTTTTGCAATTTTATTTCATCAAAGAAAAAGGAAGTTATGAGTGCTGGCATTTCAAAAAAATTACTGTGGAAGATCATTTACAAAAACATCATTGCCTCATACTAAATTCTGTAATCTAAAATTCTAATGAAAACCTATTTTAAATATTTCTTTATCATTAGGTAACAATTCTTTGATGTCTCAACTTGAGAAAACTAGGTCTATCCCTTCAGAGTTTCTACTTAAAGAATTCTAAAAATGTCTTCTATCTCATCATGAAATACCATATAACTTAAATGCTACTAAAGGCAAGAATGGCCCTCAGTGACATAATTAATATGTCCACTGCACATATCCTATAGTGCTAATGTGCACAATGTGGGGTCCCAATAGTGATGTAAACACTGTCACCAAGAACCACTGGAAGAAAGGTGCACACCAGGAAGCCCTAGAAGGAATAGTGAGTTAAGAAACAACAGCTGTTAATAGATCCTGATCATTTCATGGCTGTGTAGACTTGCTGATGCCTAATATTTCAAAATAATCGGTTTATTGCTTCCAACCCAGGCAACCTAAATTTAAAGAGGGAAAGGGATTTGTAACAATGATTAACATATTAGAAATCTAAAAATGCACCATTTCCTTTGAATGAAACATCTGAAAAAGTCATATTACTTTTTTTTAAAGAACAAAAGAATTAAATTTTATTCTAGGATTAGAGTTACTCTTTAAGAACATACTTTCTAAGATGCTAAGAACAATAAAGTAAATTTAGTGACTCTGAAATACAGACCTGCTTTCTGATCTTTATTTTAATAAAATAGAAGAGCTTTCAAATAAGTCTTGTCTTTAAGTTTCCTAATGAAAGAACTTGCTTTCATTAAAAACACACAGAGTACAGGAAAACACCATGGCCAAAAACAAAGTACATTTGCTTTCAGATCCAGCAATTCTCCAGTTGTAGAAAACATAAATATAGCAGGAGGAAAGAGGGAAAAGTAGTACCCAACAGACAGGGGTGAACCCTGATTTCTATCAGTACTAATGCTGCCACAATTTCAAGATGTCTATGGTTTAACAGCCAGCTCACAAAATTTCTGAAAATTAAGCTGAGAGTCATGGCTCATGCCTATTATCCTAGCACTTTGGGAGGCCAAGGTATGGGGCGATCACTTGAAGGCAGGAATTGGAGACCACCCTGGCCAACATGGTAAAACCGTGTCTCCACCAAAAAAATACAAACTATCCAGGCGTGATGGCACACACTTGTAGTTCCAGCTACTCAGGAGGCTGAGGTGGGAGAATCGCTGGAACCCAGGAGGTGGACGTTGTAGTGAGCCAAGATTATGCCACTGCACTCTAGCCTGTAGAAGGATTTTTCTCCCCCATCAGAGAGAAAAAGTTTTAAGAAAAATTTTAAGGTCAAAAACCTTAAAACTAGGGAACCAGGAACAGAGGCTCATGCCTGTAATCCCAGCACTTCAGGAGGCCAAGACGGGACAATCACTTGAGTACAGGAGTTTGAAACCAGTCTGGGAAACATGATGAAACAAAAAACACAAAACAGCTGGGTGTGCTGGTGCCTATCCCTGCTACTCAGGAGGCTGAGGTGAGAGGATCACTTGAGCCCCGGAGGTTGAGGCTGCAGTGAGATGAGATCGCACCACTACACTCCAGCCTCGGGGATACAGGAAGACCCTTTCTCAAAGTACAAGAAGAAGAAAAAAACACTTAAAAAAAAAAAGAGCCCAAGAGATATTTTTCTAGAAATGTAAAATCTTGGCTTTCCTTAAAAATAATGAGGAATTAAAAAAAATTCTAACCCCTCAACCAACTGAACTGACCTTCTTTTGGCCAAGGGCACCCCAGATAAACCTCAGAGGCTGAGTTCCTGGCTATGATGTGATGGGAGGTCCGACATACTTGGTTATACCGCCTCCCCGCAATAGCCGCCATTAGGCTTTCTCCCCAAGGGCTAAAATGAAACCAGCCCTTGCAAGATGCCACTGCTGATTTCAACCAACAGCCTGACTACTGCCCTGGGCTTCTACAGTTCCATCAAAATAACCAACCAGCATTTCTTCCTGATAAGAGACCACAACCACAGGGTGGTTCTGGCCAGATTACAGAGGAGGCACAATGGGGGTTTTCATGTCCTCTGCTTCATCTTTTCTTTTTTCTTTTTTTTGGAGAGGAGAAGGAAGGGGTGATTTATTTGGCCAGGAGCAAGGTGGCATAGCCGCCTAACAGCCAAGCTCATCTAACAAAGGAAACCATCTTTTTTTTCTTTTCTGTTTTTTTGAGATAAGAGTCTCACTCTGTCGTCCAGACTGGAGTGCAGTGGCATGATTTCGGCTCACTGCAACCACTGCCTCCCAGGTTCAAGCAATTCTCCTACCTCAGTCTTCCAGGTGGCTGGCACCACAGGCTAGGATTACAGGCATGCGCTACCATGTCCACTAATTTTTTTGTATTTTTTTAGTAGAGACAGGGTTTCACCATGTTGGCCAGGTTGGTCCTGAGCTCCTGGCCTGGTGATCTGCCCGCCTCAGCCTCCCAAAGTGCTGGGATTACAGGAGTGAGCCACTGTGCCCTGCCCTCTTCTTCATATTTTGACATCAGAAGGCCCAAGACTCCACCCTCTAGCTATTATTTGTTAAACACAGGTCCTATGGAAAGTCCTGAAGCTCAACTGCGCATGTGCCGGTTTCTCCTTTCATAAATACTCATGATTCCTCCTATAGCTTACTGACTATGTATACCTGGCTACCCTGCTCAGCATACATTCCTTTTCCCTTTGCCCCACCTTCAAAGTGCAAGTTTCTGGATTCTGGCCAGAGACTGTGCTTCCCAGCCTGTTGGAATGGCCACCTTGCACACTGTAACCCTTTATGAGACATAAAGCACTCCTTTCCAAAGTTGCGAACCTTGTCATTCTTCAGCTGACAGTAAGAAAAAAAATTCAGTAAATAACATAAGAAATGTCTGCGGGTCTCAAGATAAATATTTTTAAAATTGATCTTATCTGACACATATAAAGAATATATTAATATATATGTAATGAAGCATAATCATAACAAACTCCAATACAATCACACTCAAAGCTGATCTAGGTCAGAACTAACACCTGTCTGCCACTGAGCTCTTCAACTATCCTTCCACCTGAATTCCAAACCAAAGATAACCACCCTTGTAAAGTCTGTGTGTATGTATACATATATGATTTCATTACACACATATAATCCCAAAACACAAACTGTTTAGCTTTGAACGCCATTATTTTTATAAAAAATAAGTCATACTTTTAAATCATGTTTCCAAGATTTGTCCACATTGGTACATGTGTGTATTGTTCATTTATGTACACTGCTCTTTACTGTCTGATTGTATAAATATACCAAAACATTTATCCATTCTCCTCTCATAGAAATTTGGTTGTTTTTCAGCTTTTTCTATTAACAATGTAAGTTAACCTAGGACACATGTGCAAAATGTCTGCAGAATAATGTAGTTTCAAATCCAAGTACCAACCCATTCATAAGCTAGTCAAGATGAGGAATTTTTTTTTTAATGACATAGGGTAGTATCAAACTGGAGTGTACAGACAAAAGAACCATAACCTTTGATACTTTCCCACCCCTATGTGTTTACTGGGCGAGAGGTAGATATATTTCTTACTACGAGTCCAATAAAAACAGTCTTTAAGTCATCGCTCTATGTAAATACCTCCTTAAAAAATGAACTACTGAGTCTTACGGAATGTGGACATTCAAATTTGAAAGACAGTATCAAATACTTTTCCTAAGCAGTTATACCAGTTCAACTCCCATTAGAAGTATAAATCTTCCTGCCTGGTAATCCACTTAACTCACTAACTCTTAGTAAGACCTCCTGGCTTAGGAATTTTTGACTAATCTGGTGGATATAAAACAGCATCCCACTCTGGTCTTAATTGTATGTCTATGGCTACTACTGTGGCTGACCATCTTTTCCTATGTCTGCCCTCACTCCTCTACCTCTGTGTGAAATGTTTTTCTATCATGTCCTCCTGCTGACTTCAAGGCTGTGCACATGTATGCATGCACTGATTCCTGTATGCACTTATCAATGCACACATGAATCCTTTGGCAATTATGTTTCAAGTATTTTCTCCCAGTCTTTTTTTTTTACTTTATTTACAGTATTTTTTCATGAATAGATGTTCTTAAGTTTAATTTAGTAAAATTGATCGCCATTTCCTTTTATGTGTCACATTTTATGTTTTAAGAAACTCTTGACTGTTAAGATCATTAAAGTTTTGGTTTCTATTTCTACACGTTGAGTCTTTGCCATTCCCCAGTGATCTGCAATGCCACCTCTGTCACGTATCAGCTTCCCCACTTGGGTGGTCTGTTTGGGGGTTCTATATTCCAACTCAATGTCATACTTGTCTATCTCAAAGCCAATAATATACCATCTTCATTTCTATGTCATTATAATAAATCTTGAATGCTGAAATGGCAAGATGCTTCATTTTCTTCTTTTTTATGAGTTTGGCTATCTGGGGGTCTCTTTTTGCTCATCAAGTTCCTCACAAATTCAAAACTGAGAGTCTAGGTGTAATTACACTGAATTACATCATTTTTGAGAATCATCTTTTTAATACTAAATCTTCCTATGCAAGAGAATAACTTGTCTGCATTTATTTTTTCAAACATCTTATGTTAAAGTTTTGTAATTTTTCTATATATGCTAAATGTATTCCTAAGACCCATTTTTGTTCCTACTGTCCAGGGTATCCTTACTTGACATTTTTTGTCTGTTGCTGATATAAAGAAAGGCAATCAATTATTTTTAACATGGGTATTATTTCCAGCCATCTTGTGCCACTCTTATTTCTAATAATGTATTGCTTCTTTTAGCTTTTTGATGGAGACAGTCAACCCACATGAGAAGGACTCTGCTATTTCTTCTTTTTTCAGTCCTTACTGTTGTTTCCTGCCTAATACACAAACCAGAATTTACAGAACAATATAGGACAGAGGTGGTGACAGTAGGTCCTCCTGTCTTGTTCCTGATTTTAGGAGATGACTTCTAATCTTTTATTATTAAGAAAGAGATACCTTTCATCAGGCTAAGGAAGTTTCCTTCTATTCCTAGTGCGCTGAGAACATTTTCCATGAATACATGTTGATATTTCTCAAATACTTTTTCCTCAATCCACTGAGATACACATACAATTTTATTTTAATTGGCTAACAGCATGAGTTAGCCAATTTTCCAGTGCCTTCCAAACCACCATTGCCTTCCTGGGAAAGAAAGCCCAACTTGGTCTTTTGTTGCAACTGGCTGGATTTCCTGTATGCTCACAAGTGAGGCTGTTTCCTCCTATTCCTTTCTTCCATTGTTTCTGTTGGATTTAGGTATAAAGACTTCACTAGTCTGAAATTATGAGTTAGAAGTAAACTCTCACTTTACTATCCCGTGGAACTGTTTGTATAAGATTGTAAGAATCTGTTCCTTATGCATTGGGTAAAACATTTGAAAAGTAAATCTCTAACTTGGTCTGGTGCTTTCTCTGTGAAAAAGTTTATTGTAACAACTGGTTTGATCACTTCAGCGAGTAGATGACGGTAACCATGCAGCTTAGTTTCAAATCGCATTTTATAACTTTTTTTCCTTTCCTCTTTTCCCCCTAGTCTCAAGACATAGCTTTGAGAAAACCTACAGATGTGTTTTCTTTTGTTTTTAAATACAGTCTCGGAATGTACTTTAAAACGCCACTCCCCTCCCTTTCCCACCTTATACTTTCATGCCTGAGGCACATGTATTTACCTGGATGCTTGTTAAGCTCACACCCTGCTCACTTAACTGGTCATATGTTTCCTTGAAGCTTCAGGGGCCAAATCCTGATACAAACCAGGTACCTCCAGAGTTCTCTCCCCAGCAGGAGATTACTTTAAGGCCAGAGTTACTCCCAGCTAGAGACTGACAGCAAGATTGACTGCGACTGATTTGTAACCGGGTTGGGCCCAAGATGGTGCTGGCCCCTTCACCAGATGGAACAATAATTCAAGATAAGCCATAGGAGCAAGTCATGTCATTGGGCACCTCCCAGCCCCCTTGCCGCGCCTGCATTCCAAGCCCTTCTCCTTAAACCCCTGCACTCTCTCCAGAAATTGGAAAATGGCAATTTTTGAAAAGGATTCTGGCCACTTTCCCCCTTGCTAGCAAGGACTAATAAAATTAACATTTTTTTTTTTTTTTAATCAGACCTCACTCTTATTATTTTGGGTTCTTTATATAAGTGGCAAGAAGCTGGACCCTCTTTTGGCTACATGACTATTCCAGCTCATGATTTCTTCTTGAGACAGAAATTTCATATTTATTGGCATAAAGTTTTTTCCCAGTATTTTCTTATCTTTATAATCTCTCCTGTATCTATAATCACACCTTTTTTTCATTCGTAATATATATTGTTAAACACTTTTTGCTCCATTGTAAAGGGCATGGCCTTGTGTTGACCCTATGTACTGCATCTCTGTCTTCCATTTTACTCATTTCTGATCCTTGTATTGTTGCTTTAGTTCAACATGCTTTGAACTTAAAACTTTTAAAAATCTTTTTAAGGTAATGCTTAGCTATTTACCGTCAGTGACATCTCCTTGCTAACTTATGGATTTAATGTTGTAAATTCCCCTCAAGTACTGTTACAGCAGATAGCTAGTCAGACACAAGAAGAGCTGAAGAGGACTCCCCGCCCAAAAAACACACACACCACACATACCACACACCACACACACACACACACACACACACACACACACACACACACACACACACAAAACCAGGAATGTCAGGTGACCATATGATGGTCAAGTGGTTAACTGTCTCTCTAAAACAATAATTGGTCACAGCCAGCACCAGAGAAAGGCAGTCTCCTAGCAGACAGAAATATCTGAAACTGGTGATCAGCAGCTTCCCAAAAGGGTCTCAGGAGCTGGGCAAGTGCACTTGAGCACATACATTGAGAGGCAAAATGGCGGAAGACCTCCCTCTAGGAACACTGGACTGCAAAGCAGGGAATTGTCTCAAGTAGGCAAGCAAACAACTTTAGTAAACACACTGCACATGCAGCCCCTCCCAAGGGCTGGCAGGCCACCGCGCAGGCAGATAGCCCACCCCAAGGGAGGAATCACAGGAGGTGTAACAGAAGACCCCAGAAGAATGCCAACATATAAAACCCCAAGTCAAAAGGTCAAATGGCATGCTTGATCTCTCAAGTCGCCTACTTGACCCTTGTGCAAGTTCTTCTCGTTCCTGCTCTAAAGCTCCTTTAATAAACTTTCACTCCTGCTCTAAAACTTGCCTCAGTCTCTCCTCTCGCCTTAAGCCCCTCAGCTGAATTCTTTCTTCTGAGGAAGGAAGAACTGAGGTTGTATCTTTCTTTTGGCTAGTAATCTTCTGGTACAAAAAGAGGTACACCAGATGTGGCTATAATTAACAATATTCAGCTGATGTCAATTATTTATTCAAATCTGAGTATCTGTCTTTAAATAGCAAGTTTAATCAACTGACATTAATAGTGACTACTGGACTTACTTCAACATCTTGCTATTTAATATGTTCTAAGTTTATGCTATTTTTTCTCTTTACATTTTTTTAAGATTGGATGAACTTATCTTTCATTTTGTTTAGTTTTTTCTTACTACTCCTTCTCCCACCTCCCTATTCATTTGCAAAGTTTATGTTCCATTCTTATCCCCCAAATTTTACCGAGAATACAAAACCCCAAGATACAATATTTTAAACTCCCTATCAAAGCAAAGACCTTGAAATTAAAATCATTATGTCTCCAAGCAGCAAAACCCAATGAAAAAGACATGAGCCAAGCGTGCATCAAGTTGTTCAAATTAGAACTGAAGTGAAATTTCTTAAACATTATAAAAAGAAGTGAAGAATTAATTCTAAACAACGGGGAAAATGAAGATAGAAGACACATGAGATTGAAAGAAAAATCAGGCCCACTGCCTGTTTTGGTACAACCTGTGAGCTAAGAATGGTTTTCACATTTTTAAATGGCTGGAGGAAAAAACAAAAAATCAAAATAAAAATATTGTTTCATAATGCATAAAAATCAAATGAAACTCAAATTTTGGTATGCATAAATAAAGCAGTATTGAAACAGAGCCATACACATTTGCTGATACATCATCTATGGTTGCTTTCATACTATGAAGTCAGAACTGTATAGCTGCACCAGAGACCACATGGCCCCACAAAACCTATAATATTTACTATATGGCCTTCAAGATAAAGTCTACCTGTCTGTGATTTTTAACATATTAAATGAATGGATTCTATTAAGTACTTAGTTTCTACATGTCCTTCAAAATCTCAAGGAATCACCACAAAAAATAGTTTGAAAAATTTAAGTCTACTGTAATGTTATAATAAAAAGTATCATTAATAAATATCAAGAGAGCTCACAAGAAAAAATGGAGATAAGAACTAGCCCAGAAAAGAAAAGCTACAGCTACGATCACATAAAAGAAAATGCTACTGCAAAGACAGAAAGACTTCCAGAAAATTCCCAATTTCAGAATCCATTAAAGAGAAAGACACTCTGGGACAAATATCAGGGTAATTTTAACAATGAAACCAATCTTAGCCACCCCCTTCCATATATATAAACTTACAGGCAGCATCAACTTATACTTCTAAGATCAAGCTCTCTGACCAACTTCTAAACAATGTTCATATGCTCTGTGTCAAAAGGTACCGAAACATGAGGCTGGAGCTGGGGAGAAAAACAGGGCCTAAGACAATACCAGCACAGAACGAGAAGAGGCAGAATAGGCAGCTAAGCCAAAAGCCATTATAGAAATCAAAACACATATTTTTAAAACTTTAATTCTAAGAAAGTGAGAAAACAATGACAAAACCATACAAGATGCAAAAAGGTGTTAAATGGTCAAATTCTACAGTTCTTTCAAGTAACATTACTTGTTCTGTATATAGCATAGAAAAACATGGAAAGCTTTTCAGCTCATTCTATGAAGGCAAATAGCCTTGACACCAAACCAAAAAAAAAAAAAAAAAACACACACACACACACAAAACAAAATTAAGAGCTCAATCTCCTTTATGATACCACCCCTAACCACAATGACCAGGTAGGGCTTATTCTAGTAATGTATGGCCAGTGCAACATTAGTAAATCTATTAATACAACTCAATATAATAAAGGCTAAATAAGGCAAACACTAACATACATCAATTATAATCCTGACACATATTTTAAAAGCATTGGACAAACTTTAACACTTATTCTTGATTAAAAAACAGAAGCAATCTCCTAACACGTTGAAATAGAAGAGAACTGCCTGAATATCATAATTACTGGCAAAATATTAAAGGCACCCACCAAAGTCAAAGAAAGATAAGGATGATCATGCTCACCTTAACAAATGAATATTCTATGAGGGCCTGAGCCAATATGAAAAAATATGAATATGTAAGGTTAAAATGTTGCAGGGGAGATAAAAATTACATTAGTGGTAGGTAATTATCTATAGATATTATACTTTTCAACTGAAAGCACAAGAAAATTAACAATAATTACCACAAATAGAGCTGACAAGATATGAAATAAGCACATAAAAGTTAATAACTTTTGGCTGGGCACAGTGGCTCACGCCTGTAATCCCAGCACTTTGGGAGGCCAAGGCGGGCAGATCATGAGACCAAGAAATCAAGACCATTCTGGCTAACATGGTGAAGCCCCATCTCTAATAAAAATACAAAACTTAGCTGAGTGCGGTGGTATGCACCTCTAGTCCCTGCTACTCAGGAGGCTGAGGCAGGAGAATCGCTTGAACCCAAGACACGGAAGCTGCAGTGAGCCAAGATCATGCCACTGCACTCCAGCCTGGCGAAAGAGTAAGGCTCCTCAAAAAAAAAAAGTTAATAACTCTCCTACAGACTATAATAACAAGACTGCAACAGAAACAAGGAGAAGGTCTCATTCAAAAGAATAAATGCTATAAATAGTTACGGGGGAAAAAAGATATAAGACCAAGGCCAATGTACAGAAAAGCACAAAATTTCCTTGAAAGACATTAAAAAAAGAATGACCCTCAAAAATAAAAGCCAAGCACATCACGGATAGATTTACTATCATAAATATGTCAAAACTGTATTGAAAAATTAATAAAATTCCAATCACAACTGCAATTTAGACATATTTAGACATTTTTTCCCCTTTGCCTTAAAAAAATAATTCTAAATTCATTTAGAAAAACTGATGTGTGAGACTCAACAGAGAAAATCTTCAAGGAAAAAGAATAATAAAGAGAATATAGCATCATCTAAATAGTAAAAGCTTTAAATTTAAAGATACTGGAATCAAATTAAGCACATTAGAGGAATGTCTGTAACATTTAAAACAAAGAATATAGAAATGTCTTTTAAGTAAACAAGTAGCTATTAAATAATTCTGTAAAAGGAGGATGAAGGACGTGAAAAGGCAATTTACAAATGAAGAAAAGGCTGAGCAATGTGGCTCACACATGGAACCCCAGCACTGTGGGAAGACAGGAGGATCGCTTAAGGCGGGAGTTCAGGATCAGCCAGGGCAACATGGTGAGGCCTCCCCATCTCTACAAGAAAATTAAAAATCAGCCAGGCCTGGTGGTGCACACCTGTAGTCCTAACTACTTAGGTGGCTGAGGCAGGAGAGTCTCCTGAGCCCAGGAGCTGGAGGCTACAGTGAGCTATGATCGTGCCTCTGCATTCCAGCCTGGGTGATAAAGTGAGACCTTATCTCTAGAAAAAATCAGAAATAGCAACATTAAATGCTGGCAGGAATATGAGGAAACAGATACTGTCTTTAACTGATGGGAATATAAATTACCTTTTTTTGGAATGTAATTTTGTAGAATTTATAAATATTAAAATAAAAAATGAACAAAGGATAGCTGGAACAGTGATTCCCTGTTTAAGAATCCATGCTTATGTACAAAGGTATTCACTACCTTATTATAAATAGCATAAACAGAGGAAAAAAACTAAATGCTCATTAATGAAGAAATAACTTAAAATTTGGGATAAGACTGGATTAATATACAGCAGTAAATTAAAAATAAAAATAATAAAATAAGTTACTGTAATTCTAAAAAAGTATGATCCCATATGTACATAAAACAAAGGAATCCCTAACCTATGTTTGCACATATAAAGAAATATAGATACTGTAAGTCAAAGGCTTATGCCAAATTACTGTCTAATAAATACCTTCATATGCTATCATACATAAGACATTTGTAATTATTAAATATTTTACATAAATTTTGAAATTAAATATATTAAGTGTCATTTTAAAATGAACAGGTATACGTAATGATTAGATAATTATATAAATATTTAACCAACACTTACATATATATACTGTAATGTGTACTTTTTAAACCTGACTTTTAAGAACACCTTTGGCATGCTGAAAGAATAATTTAATAGTGCTTACCAATATCATTAATCATTGCTCTTATTTTGGAGACAAAAGGACCAACTTCACCGGAACTCATTTTGGCTCTTTCCTTAAGGTCAGCACCTGCAAAGTATTTTATTTACAAATATAATCTAGTTGTAAACAAAATTTTAAGGCAAATAATTAAAAATTTACTTAAGATTCATATATAACTTCAAGATCAATCTAATTCATCTTTTAATAGAATGACATTACTTAAGTTTTCCTTCCCAGTGGCCTTATCAGCAAGAATAAAGTATTTGACTATTCATACGTCTACCATGTGCTTAAAGCAGTGCTTCTCCAGCTTTCTGGTCTTAGACTCCTTCACGTTCTTCAAAGAAGACACTATGGTTGGTATCTACTGATCTATAGTTACTCTATTAGAAATCAAAACTAAGAAATTGTTTCAGTGTTTATTCATTTAAAAATACAAATGAACCCATTAATGTTAACATAAATAACAACAAATTGGTGATACAACCTTGCTTCTTGCAAAGCCCTGTCAGTTTACCACCGTTTCTGCAGTGTATTAGCACAAATGCGAACCCAGCAAAAAGGGCAGATCACACTTCGGTCAGTCCCTTTGACTTCATGGATGCCTGCCTTGGGGACTGTCAACCACATGGGAGAAGTGTAGATTTAAAGTATTAACAAACTGACAATTTCATAATTATGACTATCACAGAATCGTAACTTTGGAACAGAGAAAAATAAATACATGGAATGCCTTAAGGGATCATTAACTCTGAGATCAAAGATAAGATGGGTCCCCAATTAAACAAACAGGCAAACAACAAAGTAAAATTCCAGTGTAGAGGGCAGACACTTAGCTATTGACCCCATTGGTCTATTATAAATCAATCATGATGATATATAGTATCATAAGGGCTGGAGCAGGGGCATTATGATGTCACACACTTTTAGGGGGAGTGAGAACCAGAGTTGACAAAGCACATATCCTAGCATCCATCAGGTCTTAGATATGCACATCCTACAAAATCTCTCACATACACAAGAAAATACATATAATTACATTCAAGGGAGCATATAAAGACTAGCAAAAGAAAAATGGATATAACCTAAATATCCATCCACAGGATATGTGGAGAATTAATAAAACAAGGACATAATTATAAACAGAATGTTACCTGGGTAGCATGAATATGAAAGAATTACAGTAAATACAGATAAATCTAATGAACAATATTAGTGAAAAAGCATAATTACAAAAAGATACACAGGATGATGAACATAAATGTTTAAAACAATAATGCTGTTCAGGGATATAAAGCACACGGAAATTATAAATTCAGTTGGTGGTTATGGGGGCTGGGGTGTGACTGGCTATGAGTACACAGAGGACTTTGTTTGTAATACTCTATTGCTCAGGTTGGGTGGTGGGTGCTAAACATGTGAATCTTTAAGTGTTCTGGGATGCCTGATATGTGTCTTCACAGTTAAGTTTTCCATGAAGAAACGTAACAAAGAAAAATGCTGGCAAAACCCTGGTGCCAAACTCTTCTTCAAGGCCCAGTATTTCTCAGTTCCATTACTTCTTTTTTTTTTTTTCTATTACTTCTTAAATTTAAATCTTTTACATTTATGACCACTCATCTCAAGTGGGCCATTCTGCTGCCCAGCAATCCTACTGTATTTCCTGAGTTCAACCACTTCACAACTTCTCTCTTGACAAATCCCAAAACCTCTTATCAATCCTACCAAAGGCCAGAAAAGAAATTCTACTACTACCTACCACCAAAGCTATCCACCCAGGACTTGAATGCATACATTCTGCCCTGACTCCTGTTACTATGAATGATTAACTCATTGAGAGTGACAGGACACAGACAAATTCCTACACAGAAAGGGATGGGTTCCCAGTGAAACTCAACCTTCAAGCCAAAGACAGTTTAAAGCCTAAAAACTGAGCCGCTGGTTGCAGAGTCCACAAACAGAGAGAGAACTTCTATCCCCATATTACCCTCACTCTCTTGATTGGTTCCTTCAGGATGATAAAATTGGTTCCTTTTAACCAATCAAACAGTGCTTTTTCCAGGCCCACCCAGGGACCAATCAGCACACACTCCCCTATTCTAACCCATAAAAACCCCAGATTCAGCCTCACAGGCAATTACCCACTTTGGGTCCCCTCTCACAGCTGAGAGCTTTCTTTCTGTCACTCAATAAAATTTTTCTCTGCCTTACTCACTCTCTGGTGTCCACACACCTCATTCCTATTGGTCACGGGACAAGAACCTGGAACTCGTGGAGCTGTGGGTGACATGAATGAAAGGACTGTGACATGCCCCTGGCCGGCTTGCTGAGCTGTGGACAACGAGAATAAAAGAGCTGTACCATGCTCTTCCTAGCCAAACTACGGGAGAAAGAGAGCTGTAACACATTCCCATTCACTGAACTAAGGTTCAGTGAATAGCTGCAACATTTCTGGAGGCCCAGACCTCGGGACTCCCCGAGCAAGAGTTGTAACACCCCTTGGGGCTCCATGACTGCTGGCATCTCTGAGTGTTTGGGCGACACCACATTCTCCTTGTCTAGACACCAGCACCCAACACGGAAGCCATTTGTGGCATGCCCAGTTCAGTCTCAAGCTAAGCATGGAGTTGGAGCAGGCACAGGATTCAAGTGGGCATAAGCCAAGCACAACCTGCTGGGCCAAGTGGGCAGGGAAAGCCCGGGGACCAGAGTGAGGCCTGGACAGAGAGGTGTCAGTGGCAGCAGAGATTTCTGGCTGGCAAAGTGGCACCAAAGGAATCCTGTAACATCATGAGGGAGGCCAATCCATCCCCTTGTGCACCAGATTCAACCCCTTCTAATCTCCTTGGGGACATCACTCACTCCAGCACTTAAACTCTCTCCTTGGCTGGCAGCAATATTACCCCTCCTTAGAGGTTTGTTCCCAACAGCATACAGCAATGCTGTAATACTGACATCTTAAAAAAAAAGCTCACATAGACTTCCACTGTTAGCTATAACGGAACAAGTTATCATCAGACCAATTCTTCCATGAAACACTGGAGAAAATATGTAAGACCAGCTGCTTCAGTAACTAAGACAGCCAGAATGTAAAAGGCTGGAAAGCCAGAGGGGAAACTATGGCAAGCCTCTGCTTTTCCCCCAAAACATACACTGAGTTATAAACTGGTTGAGGAAAGAGAGTAGAAGAGCCGTAGCAGGAAGCAGCAGCTCAGAAATCTCTGTAATCTCCTGGAACTGGGAAGACAAACACTGGCAGTGAACACTACTGGCTCAGCCAGAACTTTGAAGTCAAGATCCTGGAGAAGAGGGAACTACAAACAAGAGAGCCCACTAAGGGGACTCACCAAATCAATGAAATAAAGGTGAAAATCATATGCATTTTCATTAGTTGCAGAAAAAGAATTTGATAAAATTCAATATCCATTCCTTAACATCTTCACCGAGGAATCATTTACATAAAATAGAGTTCAGTCACTGTTAAGTATAGAATTCAATGATTTTTACTAAATTCATAGAGTTGTACAATCATCATCTCAATCCAATTTTGGAACACTTCCATTATCACAAAAAATCTCTCATGCCCATATGAAGTCGCTCCCTGTTTCCACCCCAGCACCATGTAACCACTAATCTATGTTCCTAAAACTTGGGCTTTTCTGGACATTTCCTATAAATAAGTTCATATAATATGTGGTCTTTTCTGTTTTCTTTCATATGGCATGGTTTTCAGGTTCATACATGTTATAAGCAGTAAGTCTTCCAGTGTATGAATATACAAATGTTTTGCTTATCCCTTCATCACATGACAGATATTCATATCATTCCTACTTTGGGGCTACTATGACTAATGCTGATATGGACATTCACTTACAAGTTTTTGTGTGGACAGATGTCTTCACTTGTCTTGGATAAACACAAAGAAGTAGAATTGCTAGGTCATATAGTACATTTTCGTTTAACTTGGAGAAAAGAAAAAAAAAATCCTTCCAAGCTGTTTGCCTAGGTTGGCTGCACCATTTCACATTTCTACCAGCAATGTATGAGGGTCTCTGTTTTCCTAGTCACGAACAATTGTCTGTCTTTTTTATTATGCCTATTTTAGTGAGTATGAAGTGGTATCCATAAGGATTTTAATTTGCATTTCCCTAATACTGAGGTTAAACACTTTTCATGTGCTTATTGGCCATTCAAACAGCTGCTCTAGTGAAATGTCCATTCAAATCTTGCTCATTTTTTTAAACTACGTAATTTGTTTTCTCCTTACTGAGTTCTAACAGTTATATCTTAGATACAAGCCCTTTCTAAAATATAAGATTTACAAATATTTTTTTCATTTTTGGGGCTTGTCTTTCACTTTCTTGGTGATTTCTGAAGCACACATTTTAATTTTGATTAGAATTAATCAAAATTATCAATTTTTTCTTTTATCACTTGTGCTTTTCCTGTAACATCGAAAAATCATCACTCATTCTTGATTAAATTATCTTAGCAAACTGGGAAGAAAAGCTAATTTTTATAATAAAAAGTAATTGTAAAGTACCTATAGCTAACATAATGGTCAATTACTAAAAGCTTCCTCCCAAGGACCAAGAAAGAGACAAGGGTGTTCTCTAACACTTTTAAACAACCTTAGTAGATGTACTAGTGAGTGTGATAAGACCAATTTAAAACTTATAAGGAGTGAAAGGTATAATAATAAAACTGTCATTATTAGCGGATGACTTAACTGCATTTGAAGAATAGCCTAAAGAATTTTCAAACCATGAAAATAAGTAAATTTAGTAAAGTTGCTGGATATAAGCTCGATATACAAAAATCAACTGTATTTCTACATACTAGTAAAAGAAACTTGAATGTGAAATTTCAAAAAGATATCACTTACAAAACATCCAAAAATCAAGAAGTGAAAGAATAAATCTAACAAGAGGCACATGAGGCCTTGACACAACTGAAAATCTTACTGAAATAAAGAAGCCCCAAATAAAAGAACATATTATGTTCATGTGTTAGCATAGTCTATACTAAAAGATGTAACTTCTCTCCAAACTAATAGATTAAATGTTATTCCAATAAAAATCCCAATT